TTTTTCCCTTTTTGATTTCAGGTAGAGAAGTGTAGAAGTAAAATAGTCCGATTAAATGAAATATCATCACGGACATGAAGTGTTTGTGCATTTTTTTTATTTTCAAAATTCATCAAGCGGGCCGGATTTAACCCCCCCCGGCGGACCATTTTTTGGCCCGCGGACCATATGTTTGACACCCCATGCCCAAGGCATAACATACCAGTCAATTCTGTCTGAGAGTTAAATCAAACATCTCTTTCTGGGTTACTCCTGATACCGAGGTAATATGTAACAGCAAAGAGGGGATAATTTTGAGAAAAGATTAATTCTGTTTTGTGATCTTTTTTTTTTTTGATGCCACTCCAAATTGCTTGGGTGGTACACACAGCCAGCGCACTGGCCCCACTCTGCTCTTGGCACAGTACCTCAGTCAGTGTTGCAGTGCAGTCTTCAGCTGCGCGTGAATTCATGCCTTGCCGTGTGTTTGCGTCTACAAAAGGAAAGGAAGTGGAGCAGAGTGACGGATGAAGCCTAATTTGTTCATTTATGCCACTGTGAAATAACAAGCACCTATCAGTCGTGGAGGTTTCAGATTTATTTCTGCTGCCTCACTTGGAAATAGAATTAACAGGAACAACAACGGCAATCAGCGAAATCTTCACTCATGACATATTCCTGTTCAATTATTCAAAGTGTTATCTCAATTATTGATTGGAATTTCAAATTCACCCAGTATGGGTCATTTTCTGCACAACCGTGTCTGACTACACTCTGATGCACATTATCGCAACGTAATGAAGCGGCATGAAGCCACAGGCCTACTACAGTGAGTCTGTCGTAAACGTTAACAAATAAACAGGATCTTAGTACATAAAAACGCACTGTCGTTGCGAGTAAAATAGTTCAACTAGGTATTAGCGGATACAGATTCTATGGTATCGATGTGTCCTTAGTCTACGTAATGGGTGTCAAATTCATTTTGCTTCACTGGCCGCATACAACCCAATTAGATGTGAAGTGGGTCCATAGTTTTCCCTTTTGCTTTCATGTGAAAAAATGTGGGCCGGACCAGTACAATCACACCTTACTAAATTACAATAAGTCCATAGTTTTCCCCTTTGCTTTCATGTGAAAAAAAGTACTATATTAGGTATTTATTATTTTTATGTATTCATATTTAACAAAATAATGATAATTTTACAAAAAAAAAAAATCGTGTATTTTTTTATTTTCAAAATTCATCAAGTGGCCCGGATTGAACACCCAAGTGGCCCGGTTTTGGCCCGCGGGCCATATGTTTGACACCCCTGGTCTAGATACATATATATATATATATATATATATGTATATCATACATAATATGAAAACAAATACAGACAAAAATATGAATGTGGTATGTAGCGATGGGTAGCATAAGTTGACATAAAGCAACGAAAGTTATACATTTTTTAAAATTTAAATCCGACAGCAGCAATTGTTATTGCAAAATTCAAGGATTTTCACAGTAGAGATGTAATGATAACCTCGATTCACAAAAGGATGTGGATGACGTTTTTTTTTTTTTTTTTTTGTTCACGATACGATTTTATCACAATTGTTTTAGGTTAGTAATCGAGGACATCGTACAGACATACTGTAAGTGGCCTCTCGCCAGAGGTCACTGACTGGTCATGTGCTCGGAGCTGGCTTGTTTCCTAAATCACTAACATGTCCGTGTGCGGCGGGTACTGGACTCCGAGGTAGCTGTAATGGTGTTAAGAACCATGTCAGGTGTAGACTGCTGTAAAAGGATTTCCCCCGCTCCCTGAGCAAATCATATCAACTTTGACGGCTTTCTTCAGTCTGATGATCTCTGAAGAAGGACATCTGTACACGTGTTTCAATGTACACACACACATATATATATATATATATATGTATATATATATATTTATATATTTATATATATATATTTATATATATACATATATGTGTGTACTGTATATATGTGTGTGTACAACAGTATGTACAACAAAAATTATTCTATCGAATATTTACTTTAAAAACATATTTATTTAATAGCATAATAATAAAAATAATTGTTATTATTATTATTATTATTATTATTATTATTATTATTATTGTTGTTGTTGTTGTAAGTCCTGTCTGATTGACATGCTAGTCATCCAATCAGGACACCTGCATTCAACATTGTGAGTGTTTTCTTAAATACTACGTGGAACTGAATTCTTATTATTTTAAATTCAAACTGGCAACATAAAATCAACTATCATTTTATTTAAGTAAAAAAAAAAAAAAAAATCAAGTCAATTTCCTATGTCTCAAGTCAGAAAAAGACTTATACAGACCTAAACCTGTGTCCACAGGTTTATGTTTTAACAGTACCAGGTTGTGAATCGTTCCTAAGGGGCCGCACAGAGAGAATAAAAATACTATTTTTTACTCTTTTTTTTATTGATTTATATAAAGCTACATGGTATGTTATTTTGGAAAACATCACCTAGATGTCAGTGTAGGCTCTCAGTCATCCAGGTCGTCTTATCTAAAGCAGTAGTAAGTAAGGGCAACTGGACTGTTTCAGCTCTTTAAAGACGTTTTCCTTTTTCATCCTAGGGGCACAGCTGAAGAAGCTTCTCGTAACTTGTAACTACTCTGAATCACTGAAATCTGCTCGTTTTGGCTCATGACTCAGTTGCAGTTTTGTTTTTTTTTTTTTTTTCATGCACTGTTGGGCCTCAGAGAAACTAAAACAGAAATGGCCTCGTGATGAAAGAAGGCACCAAACAGAAAGCTGCTCATAAAATCTTAACATTAAAGTTCAAAATGTAAAAAAAAAAATAAAATAAAATAATTACTAGCACTATATTACTGCATTGCTACTAGTGCGGTGGGATTTTTCTTTTTGCATGAAACCGCCGTGCGAAACTAATGAAAACCACTGGAAAACCTCTAATAAAAAAAAAATAGAAAAATATTTTTTTTGATTTATTTCTCAAATCTAGTCACAGTAAGAACCAAGTTATATGATGTATATTTGTACAATTTTCACTTTTTTTTATCCTTTGGCTTTGTTTGCGACTTGTACTCAGGTGCGACTTATATATTAAAATATATAATTTCACGTTTTTTTATTTTCATACTGACAGCCTCTAGAGGGCACTC